AAGGAAATTATGTCAAGTTAAGATGCCTTGTCAAGCGCAGATTCCGCTCAAACACATGTCAATTAGTCTCATTCAGAACGGATAATAAATAGGAAAGAAATAATTTTTTCTAAATCTGGTTTCCTTCTCCCGCTGCAGGAAATATAAATATTGAATATTATTTGAAAAGATATTTGAAATGAGTACAAAAGTTTCCTTAAGGTCTGTCCATCGTTTCCGTCTACCCAATTTCGCAATTCGTACTTGGAAAGTCCTTGTATACCGACCGTAATATTTTCCTATTTTGATCTCTAAGATATAATAATAAAAATTTCCTTTTTTTTTGTTTGACTTGGCAACTCTTCTGTTTTATCATTTGTTATTGTGCTTGTGCAAGTTTGGATTAAATCATTAATAACTAAACTTTATGTTTACGATTTCTTCCATTCGCTCTTCAATTTTAATCTATTTTCCTTCATTTCATGCGTGAAAACGTAGAAACACTTCATCGGCAACGTAGATAACATAAGTGTATTTTTATCCATCACTAGGATTGTCGCAAGCATATTATACGTATTCATAAATACGCACCCAAAATTTTGATATATACATATACATATACATATATATTGTCAAATTAGTATCTATTCAAAAGTTATTTGTTTTTGAGTGAGCAGGAGTTGCGAGCAAGTTCGATAACAAGTTCAAGATCTATCTGTCAATTGGTTTCTTTACACAATAATTGTTTTTATTACTTAAGAACTTTCCGAGCCAACCGTTCAAGCAAACAGTTTCCATTCATATACATAATTACAATTAATTTAATTAATTTTCTTCACTTTGTTCGCTAAATACGGCAACAACGTACATGTGTTGTTAAGGTCAGCATCGGTATTCATGTAATTACGGCAATGAAACCTTAAAGGTAAAGAGATGAACAGATATTTCCTAATTTCGTAAGAAGAACATATGTAAAATATATTAAGATTAGTAGCAAGGCAGCTCTACTTAGCCTCAAATATTGGTCGACATGAGCGCTATGTAAGTAGATGTGTGTGAATTTCAGCAGAAATGAAGCTATCTAAGCTGCCATCAAATTTAATCTTTTCCTTTTTCCTATGCCAGATGTACTTGCTGTTGGAAATGTGTTGTTATATGCCGATCAATTTAAGTCAAAGACAGGACAACACTTTCTAGCAATCGTGTCTTCTTTCAACTATAAATAAAATCATAGAATTGTTGTCGTATACATTTTCAGAAAACGTATATATTATATACGTTTACCCGAATAGTATACGTACGACTGTAGTTTACTCAATAGTCTCAATAGTCTATCTATTTTCGTTATATAATTTCATCAAAAATCATATCTTGTTGCCAAAGAAAGGTCCAATTTAATTCATTAAATTAATAAGCGTCCAAAAGTTATATATATATGCACATGTAGTCCGAACTTACCACAGTAAGTTTAAGCATCAAATTGTTATTTTGCTACAAATCAAACAAAAACAAAATCTATATATGGAACGGTGGTGAAAATATACGGTCCCAAATTTATTTGGTAGTAGTAGTAGTAGTAGTAGTAGTAGTCAAACAATTATTTTTCAACGATTTTTTTTGCAAAAAATATTAGAAATAAAAAATTCATATAAAGATTTTTTTTTTTTTTTTTTTTTTTTTTTGCAAGATACGAGATCACTCATAAGGATGATCCGAATCATTTCCTTGGGTTCAAGCTTATTAGTGTACCAAATTTCATTTACATAACTTGAAGAGTGCAATCAGCAGACTTTTAAACTGAAAATGCATAGAGAGCCGATAACATGTTACATAGACAGACGTCAAGCAAATAAGCGGACAAATATGCTTACATTAATTCAGAATGTAACCAAATGCTATGAAAAGTGTGCGTCTATCTCAAATTCTTCTCGGTAATGCATAAAACGGACTGTCCGTCTGTCTGTCTTTCTTACGTCGTCTTGGGAGCAAAAGTTTTGCTTATTTACTTAGCCTGCGGAATAAGGACTTTTTTACTTACAGTACCACTGTGCGAGTTTGCATCGAACTGAATCGGAAAAAAACTTCAGAAATACAGAGATTACAAGTCTCGATGCATTTGTTCTAACTGACGATAACACTGTCAGCCATCTTTCACCTCTGTGTGGTTGCAATGGTTATAGAGAAATTGTAGATTAAATATTAAGGTAGTGCTCCTTATAAGCATGCAATGCGTTAAAGTTTTGTTAAAAAAAAACAAAGATTTTCAATGGAATGAATTTGGGTCTCAGTTAATTTCGGAAATAGCGATTACCCTAAAAACACGACAGCATTGACTTAAATTAATTAGCTTGGCGGTGTTTACTTGTTAGATATGGGTCGCAGGA